TATAGGAACATTTGGAGGTTAGTAAGAAAGTTGCACACATATGGGTAACAGCAGTGTATTACTCACAGGCTTGTAAGAGCAGTGAGTTGGTCCAGTCCTTGGGGCAGAGTGCCATTGAACGCGTTGCCACTGACGTCACTGGAGAGTGAAAGAGTGGTGGGGGGAGGAAGAATCCGGAATAGAGAGTGAGGGGTACAGAATCGAACAGTAAGTACCGAAGTTACCGGAGGGCAAAAATTATCAAGGAAAGGGAATCTCAAACAGATTTGGAAGGCCAAAAGGAACGCTGTACTGGGGGCGAGAAGAACTACTGGAAGGAGTGAAATTCCAAGAACAGACACTAAACGGTTAGCAGAGAGTGACTTCAGTAGTACGAGTGCTGGGTTATGGTTAGTTGTGATGAAGATAGATAGAAGGTCACTAACAGGTGAGACAGGAGGGAGATTCTCCCAAGGCCTTCAGGAAGAGAGCCGGTCAGCTGGTTGTTGCTCAGGTCGCTGCGGATGGAAGAGGAGAGGAAGAGGTCGTGAGTTAAGATGTGCATAGAGAGAGAAAGAGAAGGATGGAGAGACGCAGTATGCGTTTGGAGAGGTATGGGGAGGGATGGGGATCTGGAGGGGGGCGTGAGAGATAGGTGCAAGGAGAAGGGTCCTGGTATAGTGGTTGTTGTTTTTATTGTTCCTTTTTTTTTCGTCAATTTTGTAATTTTACTTGGTCGAGTTGCACACTAGCAGGAAAATGGAGAAACACAGAATCCATAGAGCACGAGTTACATGGGAGGAAGGGTAGGAGACTGGAAAGGCGCTCACAGGTGGAGAAGCTGCAGAAGGTCGCCCAGCCCTCGAGAGAGAGTACCTTGGAAGGCGTTGGCACTGAGGTCTCTGGTGGAGAGTGGGTGACATGGGTTTGATTGTGGGAAGTGGGTGAAACGGGTTCAATAATGGAAAGCGGGTGAAGTGAAATGGGTTTGATCGAGGAAAACAGGTGAAATAGGTTTGATTGAGGAAAGAAAATGAATTGGGTTTGATTGAAGAAAGCGGGTGAAATGAGTCTGATTGTGGAAAGCGGGTGGAATGGGTTTAATTGAGGAAAGAGGATGAAATGGGTTTGATTGAGAAAAGCGGGAAATGGGTATGAATGAGGAAAGCGGGTGGACAGATTGCCGAAAGGGCATGGAGGGCTAAAGGGAATTGTTAAAGTTGCCGATGTCTTTTGAATCAAGAGTTTGGGTGAGTCCTTTGGTATCTGAAGGTGTGAAAAGATCCACTAGAGTATGGCATGTGAGTGCCACTACCGGATGGCATTGGCGGTGGGTATCTGCAGTGGCGCTGCAGTGTCTCTACTGATGCATGTGTGTATGGTATGTACATGGCCTGGCACTACCCAATGGCACGGGTGGTGTGCATCTGTCCAGTGAAGATGAGGGCACTGGCAGATGGCAAGTGTGTGGCACTGGCAGATGGCATGTGTGCAGCTCTGGCAGATGGCATGTGTGTGGCACTGGCAGATGGCATGTGTGTGGCACTAGCGGATGACATCAGCGGTGTGCATCACGAGAGTGGCACTAACTAATGGCACAGGTGTCCCTCACGTGGTGTGCCTCACGTACAGGTGGGTGAGGTGCCTGTATCGGCGCAGGCGAGGCAGCGAGCCATTCAGGCCGTTGGAGCTAAGGTCGCTGCACTCGCAAACACAATGAATGGAGAAATTTGCTGTTTCAATAAGCTTTGTTCACTTGATTGACGAAGAAAGAAGAAAAAGGTGTGCCAACAAGAATTTAAATGCACACACAAGGCCAGATATGAGGTGATTCTCATAGTCTGTAAACACTGCAACCCATGAGACTCACAGAGTATGCAAGCAAGTGAGACTCACAGAGTATGCAAGCAAGTGAGACTCACAGGGTGTGCAGGCGAGTGAGGTAGCTCAGCATGCCGGGAACAGTGCCGAGAAGGGAACAGCTTGACAGGTCGCTACACGTATGAGGGCGGAAATGCAGAGAGATTTAGAGGGGGACAGAGAGTTAAGTTCTCTCATCTCACTGATTTTGTGTCTCCTTCCGAATGAGCTTGGGGGGGGGGGGGGGAGAGAGCCAGATAGGGGGAGGGCAGCCCTGTGTGGCTCAAACCAGCCTGGTGCGACGCATCGTGGTGATGCTATCCGACTTCTGCAGCGGCCCACTTACAGGCGTGTGAGTCGTGTGAGAAAGCCCGAGGGCCGAAGGGATGGAGGAAGAGAATCCATTTTGAGATACGTCCCTGTTGGTAAGAGGGTGAGGAGAAAAAACTGATGTTTGGCGAGTAAATGGGTTGTTTGGAAACACTGGAAGCAAAACCAGACAAACAAGGGGAAAGAGGGCCCAGGAAAAACCTTGTGCATGGAAAATGGCAGCATGTGGTGCAGTTTCTTGTCAGAGGCTTACATGTCCTTGAGGCGTGGAAGCATGCCAAGGCTCCTAGGTACACGACCAATCAAAGCGTTGTTGTGCAGGTCACTGGCGAAGACAATAGAGTTGGCAATGTGGATGCAAGGAAAATATGAATCCTCAATGGAAATGACACAGTGGGTGTAGTTTTGGTGCACTAGCACAGTAGGTGAGAGAAACACAGCAAAATGAGATGCCACCTTCAACAAGCAGAAAACCACACGATGAGTGATTCAACACGACTCAGAAAGGCAGGAAAAACTTCAAAACCTTTTTCGTAAGTTGCTTACAGGACGGTGAGTGATTTGATTCGACCCAGTGTGGCAGGGATTGACGAACTGAGGTGGTTGGACGAGAGATTCCTGTGGGAGGGATGACCGCCATACAGTGGGAAAACAGAGGATTTTGGCAAATAGGCAAAGGGGAGCAGATGGTTTACGCCAGCAGCCACTGCAGAGCAGTGCAGATGGAAGGCAGGGAATTCTGGATTGCATAACAGCCAAAGCCAGTCAGATTGCATCGGCCAAATGGCAAACAGATTGACGTTAACCAATGAGCGGGGGCACACTATCAATCGTGCACACGGACGGGTGCAGATTGGCTCATTGCATCGACTTGTCAAAGGGTATGTGCGTGAATGAAGCCACACGCGTTGGACTTGTGTTTGGATAGTGGCGGCTTTCTTTCTTATAAGTAACGCAGGTTGATTATTGAGTCTTCAAAACAAAGAAATGAATGTGTGCCTTACAGGAAACGCAGGTTGGGAAGCATGCCGAGGCTAGACGGAATGGATCCGTGCAACAAGCAGTCACTCAGGTCCCTGTGGAGGGCAGGAATGTATGGCACATGGAGGGGCAGAACAGAAGGGGCAGAATAAGTGGGGCAGAGCACCAAGGGAGGGCGCAAGTAAGTGGGCAGGAACGACATGCAGGGGGGCTGCAGGGAGGGGCGGGGCACGAAGGGAGGGCACAAGGGATGGAAGAGATGGAATCTCCAGTCGACTCAGGAACTCCAGCATGCTCAGGCATCTACTCTCAGGAAGAGCATAATGGTTAGGGTGTAAGGTTATGGAGGCTAGGGTGCAAGGGCATGGGGGAAGGTTGTATGGGCATGAGGGAAGGGTGTAAGGGCATGGAGGAAGGATGTAAGGGAGTGGGGGAAGGGTGTAAGGGCATAGAGGAAGGGTCCAAGGGCATGAGCTGAGAGGAGGGTAAAATGGCTTTCGGAAAAGGCTGGAGGGGGTTGTTGGTGATAGTAGGGTGGGTAAGACGGGCCTCCACAGTAGGACATTCTCTTCAGTTACTTTGTCCTTAAAGCTTGTTCCCTCAACTCCCAAGCTTCCAAATCTCAAGACAAGACACTCAATACTCTAATTTCTCTCAAGCCACTCAGTTCACTCAATTCTCTCAAGGGTCGAGCTTCTCAATCTTCTCAAGCCGCTGACTCACAAGCGCCTCAGATTCTCCAGCAGGCTGAGGAAAGACGGCATGCTGCTCCGTAGACTGTTGTGACTCAGATCGCTGCGAAAAGATAGGGGGGAAGGAGGGAGCAAGGGAGAACAGAGAGGGATAGTACAGAGGGGGAGGAGGGGAGGGGGGGAAGGAAAGGGCGAAGAGGGAACAGGGTTGATAAGGGGAGGAGGAAAATGATAAGTGAGGGGTGGGAGAGATCGGTGGGCGAGGAGGCCAAAGAGGAAGAAGGGAAAAAGTGGGGGGTTGAGATCGAGGGGGTTGAGATCGGGGGGGTTGAGATTGGGGGGGTTGAGTGGAATGCAGATCAATGATTGCCATGGAACGGGGACAGACAAAAACGAAATTCCCAGACAGGATTGATTCAATCCAATTATATGGGGAATGTCAATGTGTGAAACCATAGAGCTATTTCTGGTTCTTTATAATTGTTTTTTTGTAAATATACCATAAAGGCATACATCCACAGTCGTAGCTGAACATGTAGCTGAGAAGAGATAAGAGGGCGAAGGTGTGTCTCACAGGAAGTGCAGGTAAGGAAGCATGCCGAGGCTGGCCGGAATGGTTCCGCTCAACGAGCTGTTCCTCAGGTCCCTGTGGTGTGGAGGGCACAAAAGATGGGTAGGGTACGAAGGGAAGGTGCACGGTTGGACTTAGAAGATTGAGTGATTGCAGAGTCGATCTGCCCAGCGAGCCACTTTTGAGAGTTCTCAAAAGTTGAACAGAGGAAAGGGTTGGATTTGGAGGAGAACGTCACTGCGGGATGGATCCGCTCAGCGAGAGCTGTCACTCATGTCGAAGAGCCTGGACAGGCAGAGAACCTAGGGAGGGTGCAAGGAGGGAGGGTTGTCTGCGGAGTTCATCTGATTGCAGAGAATTGCTGATCATGAACCAGGCCAAGGCATATAGGGAGGAATCAAAGGAGCAAGGGCATGGAGAAAATGCTGGGGGAAGAATGAGTGAGTGTGATGGCAGAGCAGTGGCTTGGTTCCCTTTGGCATGACTGTGACTGGTACCTTCTCTCTTCACTTGGAATTTCAAGCCTCTGACATTCAAATCTCTCATTTCTCAAGTCTCAACGTGCAGGATCCCAACTCTCGAGCCGCTTAAGCTCCAGGCCAGCGACTCACAGGCGCCTCAAGTTCTCCAGCAGGCTGAGGAACGATGGCACGGTGCCCCATAGAGTGTTGTGACTCAGATCCCTTCGTGGGAGGTGAGATATGATGGGGCAGCAGGAGAGGAGTGTGGAGAAGGATAGGAGAAAGGGGAGAGTTGGAGGAAGAAGGGGAAAGGCTGGAAGAGGGATGAGAAAGGGAGAAGGAAAGAGAAAGGATGGGGGTGATGCGAGAGGTGTGGGGGAGGGGAGAGCGGAATAAGAGGAGAGGAGGGATGGGGAGGATTGCGGGCTGAGGAGGGGTGGAGAGAGGGATAAAGTGGTGAGCCTGGGTTACATGTGAGGGGGAAGAAGAGGCAATGACAGAGGCAAGTATGAGCCCGAGACAGATGTGTGCAAAGGGGTGAGGAGTGGTTGTAGTGTTGGGGTGGTAGGGGTTGTGGGAGGAAGAAGATAGACGGCTACTGAAAAAGAGGAGGGAAGAGTGGAGGGACGCTTACACGGTACACCCTTCCAGTATAATTGAAGATGGTTTTGATTGGACGATAAAATTAGCAGAACAAAGGGAGAACATATATAAGTACATATACTAGCTTCAATATTTCCGAATCGCTTTTACACAAGGCTGGACACTACGTAACAGAAACCCACAAAATCATCATTATCATTGCTAGGAGAATTGTCCAAGTATAAATGTAAATGTACATAATGTTCCTTACAGGAGCGATAGGGACGTGAGAGAACTGAATGTGGCGGGGATGTAGCCACTTAGAGAGCAGTTGGCAAGGTTGCTGTCCCGGGAAGAGACAGGCAGGGGACATAGGATGGGGAGGAAGATAGCAGGCTATAATAGGAGAGGAACGAAATGAGGGGATGAGAGGAGATATAATTGAAGAATGATGCCACCCGTAATGTAAGTGACTGACTTTAGTTGAGCTGACATGGTAAAGGGAGATGGAGAGATGATTGGGGCAGGCGAAGCTTACAGGAGAGTGAGGGTGGTGAGGCTGCCAATTTCCGGAGGAATGCGGCCGTTCAAGGGGGTGTTACTCAAGTCGCTGCTCATGACAATCAAACCATGGCAGTTGCAAGTAAATTTGATGGCGTGAGATTTAACAGTATGCCATGTGAATGCATGCTATGTGAACGCATGATCTGTGATGGCATGTCGGGTCGAGCATGTCATGTGATGGCATGCCATGTGAAGGCAGAAATGTCATCATGATGTAAAATGACGTTAAACAACCCTGAACACATTACAAACAGATGATGGGGGTATGGCAACACAAATACATCCAATGAAATGTATGCAGAGCAAGGGAATTGCAATGGGAGGTGCAAAGTTGGGAGATGCATGCAAGCAGTGAACCACATCAATCAACCGTGCCTCATGCTGCAAGCACCATGCTGCACATTGCCACCACCGTGCCTCACATTGCCACCACCATGCCTCACATTGCCACCACCATGCCTCACATTGCCACCACCGTGCCTCACGTTGCCACCACCATGCCTCACATTGCCACCACCGTGCCTCACATTGCCACCACCGTGCCTCACATTGCCACCACCGTGCCTCACATTGCCACCACCGTGCCTCACATTGCCACCACCGTGCCTCACATTGCCACCACCGTGCCATTGCTGTCACAAGTCACCCCTTGCACTTGGCTGCAGTCCCCCCCTCCACTCCACCCTGTGGGCGCCACTCGCCATGCCCCCGCGCTCTCCACCAGAGCTTGTGCTGTCAGAAAGAGAGGGACGAAGAGAAGAGGGACGAAGAGAAGAGGGAAGGAGAGTGGAGCGCAGCTTACACGGAGACATGAGTGGGTGTACACCGAAGTAGAAGGTTTCACCTTTACAACCATGAAGAAAGTGAGAGTAGGTGCACAGCATACGACGTGAGACAGAAAAAAATACAGCTTTTCTCACGTAGTGTCGTAAACAGGCTAGGTTTCACTCCACATCCGATCATACCTCCTCCCATCTGAATCCATTCCCACCCCAATCCATTTCATCCCAACACATCCCATCCCAGTCCATACCATCTCATAATATTTCTCATCCCATCCCCATCCTCATTCCCAAATCCCATTCCATCCCATCCCCATCTCCATCCCCATCCCAATCTTTCCCATCACATCATCCCCATCCGATCCATTTCATCATCCCATCCCCATCCCCATCATCCCCATCCCCATGATCCCCATCCCCATCCCATCCATCCCATTCATCCCATCCACCTCATCTCATCCTATCCCATCCCATACCATCCTACCATCCCAATCCATACCATCCCATCTCATCCCGTCCCATCCCACCAGTCACATGATCCCCTCGCATCACTTACACCTTGCATCCAGAAATCGCACATCCAAGCCGCTCTCGTTATCCCTATCAAACCTTCCCCTGAGTCACCTTGCAGCACTTCTATTGGCACGACGGGTCCTGCAGCATGCACAGGGAGGCTCGCCAGGAAATGAAGCGCCAGCAGGGCGGTGAGAAGCGGAAGAGACAGCAAGGAGCAGCTCGCAGAGCCCCGTGTCACTCTCCTCGATGCCGCAAAGCGTGCCGAGCTTGGCTTCATCTCAGAACGTTGTGGCGGAGGAGGAGGTAGTGGTAGTTGTTGTTGTATAATTTGTGTTCTCGCGACTCGCAGGGACAAGCGGACGTGGATCTAGTAGGGCTTCGACTGCGGTAGTCTTGAAAGGAATCGGCGACTTCTAAAAGTAATGAATGCGGGCGCAAAAGATAAGACTAAACGTTTCAGATGGACCAAGAAAGGATGGATTTTGTGTGTTCTGGATTCTGGAGATTCTTGCAACAAAAGTCCGATTTGAAGAAAGGTTCCGCAATGGTAAGGAGCTGGAACAACGACCAAGGCTTGGGTCATGGTTATTCCACACATTCGTCTGAATGCGGCTCAATGGGATGTTTCACGTTGTACAACGGTTAAAAGTCTACAGTGGTCGGGTAGGTTTTTTAGCAGATGTGATCGTGTCGGACATGCCGCAGAGTCTGTGCGAGACGGAGGTCAAGCCAGGAGGACTCCTTTCATATTTTGTTTTTTCGTAGTTCTGCTTTCGTTTCCTTTCAAACAAAAAGCAGGGTAATGTACTGCGTTGCTTGTTGTAAAAGCTGGTTGGTCTCTCCACGAATTCTTTCGGCACATTGAAGCGTTGCTGGAATGTTTCAATAAGACCACGCATTCGGTTTGGACTTAGGGGTTGGGAGAAGGGGCCAAAAAAAAAAAAAAAAAAAAAAAACCCGAGGGTTACCTGATATTAGAATGTTAAAGCCAGCTCATCAGAATGCAAGAACAGCGAGATGCTGGAGGAAATTGGAAGGATGACGGGGCAGATCCAGCGAGGACGGAGATGCGAGCTCGACGACCGTTGACCATAACCGAAATAAGGTTACAGTGTGGTGGAGAAATGTCGCAACAAATAAGAACAGAACTGCGTGGGCGACATCATTTCCAAACGCCCTTCCCGAAGAGGAAGGAAAGAACATTGACAATCAAGACTTTGACGAACCTGTTTGGTCCCAGAGGAAGTCGTGACTCAGCACGTCTAGTCTATGTAAAACAGAAAAACACATACGAGAACCAATACCATATAGGGCGTGTGTCTTTCTGAGTGTATTGTATTGTAAAGTTTATGTATTTTAGTAACTTACACATTTGAACTATGGTCGACCTGTAGTCGACTATCTCGACTTTTGAAAGTAGAATCGCAGCATCACCCTTCGCACAACAAAGTTCGACAATCAAAAGTTCGACTTTATACATTACGCATGCGCGCTACCTACTTTTGTAGGTTATCCAACTAATACGATGTAGTTCATGACCGAATCGGGATTTGGATCTTTTGGGTGTCGAAGAAATTGCAGCTTCATCGTGCGTGAGAAGAAGAGCACACGATTGGATAAACGTGTACACAAAAAACACCATCGCGATGTCAGCCCAAGCTCAGTGTTCTAACAATTTTTCGAATCATCCAAAAAAAAATCACAAGACTCGCAAACAATGTTAACGACATTTGCGAAGCCGATTACCAGCAAAGGTTCGACCGTAGTTTCATACATCTACATCAAAAGACACACGCCCTTATACATCTGAATGTACACACATATTAGGCCACTAAAACTGGTTTTGGGCCACCTAGTCAAATCAGGGCGCTATTGAGGCTTTCCCTGACTGCTAGGGTTAGCAAATAGGTTACACTGTCAAAATCAGGGTGTTTTATTAGACACACTAATTGTGCAAGGGTAAATTTTCGTACACTTTGTCTCAAACCTGATTTTTTTCATCATGCATGTCAGTGGTGCAAAGATAACGTCTACATCAGGAGATTGACTACAGGATAATGCACGGTTGTGGGAGTGATCTCTGCATTCCTTAGCGTTTGCTCGTGTTCCCTCTACGCACACATATGCAGGGAGAATTGGCAAGAGTTTCACTAGCAAAAGTTTTGAACAATTGTGTAGAATAATATCAACAACATTGGCAAAGTTGACTACATCAAGAGCAAGTCCACCTAGCATGCCGGCAGGTCAACCTCCAGCGCAGCATGGTCGACTGCGTTTCAGCAATGCAAAGTTCGCACCGCTCCAGCGTGACAAAGAGGCGGCTTGCCAATGTTGCAAGTCGACGGTGTGCCAACGATGCATCAAGGCGGCTGCACCGTGTTGCACCCGTATGACAGCAGTGCACCCGCTTCACAGGTGCTTGCAGCTGGTTGGCGTGCCGTCCCCCGTCACATGCGCAGTGCACACACCAAGCCAATAACGTGCCTGCAGCTGATCAGCCACATGGACCTCGGAATACCACTCCCCGAGGTCGGCATCGACAGAACCACCCGGGCGACCGCCGCGCACCCCGGCAGTGTTAACGGGAGAGGAGTGTTGGCCCCGCCCTCGCTTGGGCAACGCCGACGACTTGGTCGGATGTACGAGAGAAGCAGCCGACTGTTCACAGTGGGACAGCTGCTCGACGGGCTTCGTCGATCTGCAGAGGACCTCTGTGATGTTGCTATCGACAGCTGCAGCTGACTGGGCTGGGTGACGGGTGGGCCGTCGACTAGGAGGAGCAGTTCGACTGAGAGGTCGACGGAGCAGTCTGTCGACCTGACATGTGAGCAGCAGTCAGTGATGGGAGCTCGGCGACATCAGCTGACGGTTCTGGTCGACGGAGGGGTCCGTCGACCAAGGGGTAGCTCGACCAGAGCACCTGGTGGTCGACCAGGTCGACCAGGTAGCCTGCTCGGCAAATTCTGCGGGGGCACGCGAACGTCGTCGAGGTCGCGATGACGAAGGCGACTTCGGGCTGGTATCTCGAAGTTGATGCGGCTTGTCAGGCGCAGACAACAGCCGACGGATGTAGAACGATGCAAGTTGGGCCAATCGTCTGCGCGCACCTGCGAGCGTGCACACTGCTGTCTTCTACTCGGCAATGCTGGACAGCCGCTCTACTGCAGTGTTGGCACGTTGTCGGCTTGCTCTGTCGGCAAGTCACCTTTCTGCAATTTTGGCGCGGCTCCTCTATGCAACGCTGGCAGGTGGCCGACCATGCAGTGCTGGCGGTCGACCAGGTTAGCTGCACAGTTGCTAGGTTTTTTATGTAGTCCTTTTTGTCATTGCTTGTTCACTTATTCTGTAATTTTGACTTTGCTAGTGGAAAATCTTACCGATTTCTTCCGTGAATGTGCAAGGACTAAGGAACTAAGCAAAGTTACGATCACTCCTAGTAGTTCGTGCCAACCCCTGTAGTCTAGCCCACTACCGTTGCAGAATGACTCTTCGCAGACAGAACCTCGTTGCCCTGGTTACTTGGTCGACCGGGACACCACCAAGTCGGCGTCGACTTGCACGGCAGTACCCCGTCAACTGTTGTACATGCTCAACAACCACCTAGGTGAACTATCTCCAGCCGTCTTCACCAAGTCGGTTTCCCGAGGTCGGCGCCCTCCCAGGTCGACCTCCCAAAGTCGGCGCCTTCAAGTCGGCGCCCTCCCCGGTCGGCCTCTTGAAGTCGGCTCCCTCAAGTCGGCGCCCCTCCCAGGTCGACGTCGGCGACCTCCAAAGTTGGCGCCCCTCCCTTCAATGACCACCGCGTCAGAGTCGGCCGCCGGCGACCCAAAATCGGCGTCGTCGCAGTGGCCCTGTGCAGGTCGACCAAGCATGTCGACCTGCGCGCCTAAGTCGGCGTCGCTCGCTACAGCTGGTCGGCTGCGCTCCCCGCACACCTGACAACGGAGTCGGCTCCGCCCAAGCAAGGAAGGGGCCAATACACACCGTTGACAAGTGGGGCAGTAAGTGAGGGTTTGACAACAAACATGTTATTGTGTCCTTAGGACATGGCGCCCAAAGGGGGGAGGTGCGAGGGTGGGGGTGGGGGATGAGAGAAGGGCATATTTTTTGTATTGTTTGTAACACCCTCACTACCCAAGGGAAAAAACTTACGACCATGATTTTCTAGGGGTAGGGAAAAAAAAACGTGTTTTAGAAAGAGTAATACAACAAAACCATTCCAAAAGTCAAGGTAATATCCAAAAGCAGCTTATGTCAATGCATTTTACTCTTCAATTTTGGGGCATGGCGTCCTCTCCATATAGTGATGTTACAAGTAAAGTGTGTGAGCGAACAAAAATTGCACTATTGAAGCAAAACAATACAATGAGCGAAGGCATTTCAGCTGTAGTAACGCGCTCGCAAAAAATGTGCCCCTCGGGCCTGATGCTAGGGTTGGGAATGTCGAAGCGTAGGGCCGGGTCGTGGGTTATTAGCCGAGCTAGGTGGTTCGGCGCTATGGTCGTGCTGGTGGGAACAGTGGTTGAGACGAGTGTCGCGAGGTGGTAATGAGCTACTA